TTTCTGTCATCAGCATCGTTTTTTTTTTCTTGCTTCTCGGTGTCCTTCACGCGTTGACAGCGCTCCTTCTGGTTCGTTACTTTGCGATCAGTATTGCTCGCTCGCAATTGTCAAGGAGACCGATGGATCATCTCGATAGTGCTACAATTCAATGTCGAGTGCCTGTGCGTCTATCGAAATTGTATGTCTTCCCTCGATCCAACGAGCGATCGATGCTCACGGCCTTCATGCAAGCTATAGGAATTATAAGGTCATGGGTCGAAGCACACACGTATACATGATGCTATGCATGGAGCTCAGAGTTTCAAAACTTTTGGAAAGCTCTCGACAATATCGGGAATATCGATTTTCGTTAACTTTTCGGTAATTAATGGGTCCTAACATGCAATAATAAATTTAATATTGGCCCTTTGACTTGAAATCAATCAAAGCTTGGGTAGATGAAGGAAATATCGATAGTTCAAGAAGCCATCTATTAGATCTCAGATCTAAATAAATTATTCGCGTATAGTTTCTTTTGTCATAATTATCAATCGCTTATAAAATTATTGAGTGATAAAATTTGAAATAGTATATTTCTTAATTTGACTTTTAATCACAAATACTTATAAATAATATCTGTGTATTCTTTTATTATTTAAAAAATATGGGTCTCGATAAATTAGAAACGTAGAGTGTAATTAATTCAGAAGACGCATTGTACAAGATTTTTTCAGGGTTGAACGGCCGACGCTGATATGTTTATCTCGGGATACCGGTTGGCAAAAATGAAGAAATCGAAAGTAAGACCTGAGTGAGAATAGTGCTCTATTTGCGGCCAAGGAATTTTAGCACATTTTGTTTCTTTCTTTTTTTATGCGCAACTCCAATCGAGAAGCATTCTGTCAACGCCACGAAATACAAAGAGGAGATTTAGATGAAATTGAGCCTAAGAGAAAATGTAAGTAAGTTTTATTGAAATATCAGAGAATATCATAGTTTTCAAGTAAAAATCTGTAACGACTTGACATTAATTATATCAGTCTGATTCGTGAGGCACGTTTATTTGAAATTGAAAAATTGATTTCTAACATTACGAAAGTATTTCCTATAATTGAAAATACCAACAAGAATATATTGAATCAATAACATAAAATAATTTTCTTTCTGACAGTCGTAAGCTTAACAGGAAAGTGAAGTAAATGTTAAATTCTTGAGGAACAAGTTATGTTCCTAAATTATGTCGTAAGTAGAGAATAAGTAGATGAGCTAAAACTTTCATTATCCATCATATTACACATAGTATATATATACCACCTATTAGTCTATAATGTCATTTGATTTCACTGAAGGTTATAACGTGCTGCACCAGAGGTCATTCATAACTTTTAATTAAATGTCAAATCGATGAAAAAAACATAAATCTCATATGTCGTTATTATTTGCTAGATATTTTAATCACAAATAAATTATTATCGTAATTAAAAATACAAATTCAAAAGAAAGTACACTGCAAAGATTTGACAGACAGTAAAAAGTTAATGATGCTAATTAGCTGCATAATTTATACGTCTTTCGGATATTTTCTTATAATCATCTCTATTTCTTGCAAGCTGAAAACATCGTCGACAAAAATTCTAATGTTACGACAAAATCTTCTTCGCGTATTCGTTTAATGAGCTCTTCAACTTGGGTTGACAAAAAAAGAAATGAGAATATTTTATACATGCTACATCATCTGAGATATTCATGAGTACATTAGTTATCCGAGGGTTTCTTTGAAAATATTTCGTTAAAATATGAGTTGTAATATATATATGTTTGTTTCACGAATCCGCCTACCAAGTTCTTTGACTGGAAAGAACATTGTGCTGGATGTGTTTCTCTGACAAAAATATTGCAAAGAAAGAAAAAGAAATAAGAAGATTCTTTACGTACTGAATGATGCATGGTAGATTTATGTTCTTAAAACATCTTAATTTCTTGAACGATAACATTCAATGCTATTAACATTTGTGTAATAAATTATAAATAGCAATATTTTAATACAGAACAAAAACTTTAATTTAAAAAAATACATTTATTGTTTAAATAAAGAATTATAGATTAAATTCAATAAATCAAACATGCTTCAAAATGTTAAAATATTAAAAAAATGTTTTGCATTTTGCAATTATTATAATCAGAGACGTGAAAAGTTGTTAGTATATCAGAAATGATTTTTATATTATAAACAAGTGGATAAGGATTTAAGTGTTACATCTGTTGTACATATTTGGTTTAGTTGAGCCGTGATGGTTCACATATGGCATCACGAAGTGACAGCGAACGTTTCCGATGGGGATGATGGAATGCGCGTTTATAGTTCTCGAGAACGCATTATATCGACGAATGACACCTGTCTCTTTACGGCCTCGTCGCTCATCGATCAGCTATCGATGTTCAGCTCCACGGCGATAAGCAATAGCAATGCTGGGCAGCGAAATGTGCCTAAGAGTGACACTGCAGGATGGTTATCTAGAGTACTCGGAACAATTTGAATATTCATTATTCGCGTTTCTTTCACTCGATGCTCATCGATCACCCGATGTCGCAAACGAAGCAACATAAATAATCGAGACAAAACGTAGCCGGCGGTAAGGAATGCCGTGGTCCATATCTCTTTGCTCGCTCAAACAATGAGTATGCGCAACAATAGCGGTTAATTACGAAGAGAAACGTTGCGTTGCTCAATAGTTGTGTGTGTGTTCCATAAATGCGTTAAACAGTATAAATCGCTGCATTGTGCGGTTGAAAATAAATTTACGGTTTTCGGCAAGACACTCCAAATTTCTAATCCCTTCGTTGGCCCGGAAAAGAATTTTCACAGCTCGCGTGCCGCCAATATCGAAATTGCGGGGTGACAAATCGCGTATTGATATCGTGTCGTTGTCCACGATTTTAAATCGACAAATCGCGTTTTAAGTGTTATGATCATCGCGTCAATGGGTTTAAATCGATGACATGATCCGGCACATCGCATCAGCCGTATCGTTGAGAAATCCTCCGCGCGCGAGGTGCACGCGAGTTCGACCGAGTGTGCATGATGATACGGGAAGAAGGAGTGAGAGAGAACGAGAGAGGTGCACGCATACTGGTATCGCCGGACAGGTTTACAAGATTTTTTAGCCTGAGGCACGCATCTGGGTAACTCGATCGTGCGACTCGCAAGGTAGGCGAACACTAAATTATTGCACACATTCAGGCTAAATAGTAACTAAAGGTTCCATGCACAACTCTTATGAATATAAACCAATTCAATGCGGATGAAACGTATATTTCATATTTAGAAATATGGGAACTACGATTTCGTTTAGGGTTCAATGGAAAAGATTTAGCCTGAGAATATAAATACAATATCTTCTGTCGCTGTAGAGTTAATTATTCTTAATATATTAATCTGTTATTGTAATTTAAAACCTAGAATTAAATTTAAATGGGTTTAATCTTCATTGTGCCGAGAAAATAGCGTTTGAAACCGCATCGCGCAATATTTATTATGTTTGCTCTCGTTCGTCAGAGTGTGTGTAATTGTGACAATAAACAGTTCGTGACAAAAGACCAAGGGAAGCAAAGTACGGATGACGAAATCAGTGTGCAGTAATATTGACCGATACAAACTCCGGTTTGCTCTTTCCAAAGATGTTTATATTGCCACGAGCGCTTTGCTCTGTGCTCGCCATGAATGCCCGCAAGGCTTTTTGACGGCCAATCATCGAATCATGCTGGGGAGTGGAATGATCTCGTGGCTGTCAAGAGGTGATAAAAGTCGCGCGGTACGGTGATTTCCTCTTAATAGTCCCTTCGGGAGACTGAACGTAAGCCGAGAATGCGAGGTGAGAATGAGAACGTCGGATGCTGCTGTACTAAGAAAATGCTGCATCCACCTTTTGCTCATGACTTTGCTTAATATCGCGACTGCTTATAAAATGTAATAAAACAGCATGACTGTGCGCATCAATTGAGAAAAATTTTCCATAAAATTTCGCACGTATGCTTCTTTTTCTTGCCATTTCTCTGCGCAGCATTAATTAGCATATTTTTGAACAATATTATAAGCAATATAGTTAATTAGCTTTTGTCGCGTTATAGCCGCTGGTAAAATTGATAATATTATAACACAATAAATTATCGTGTACAATGCCGATTGCTTTTTCAACTTAAGAAATTAATACAAACCACTTTTACATATGTATAAATAATGGTTCTTGAAACTATTTTAAACTCGTTCTTTTAATTTATTATACTTTCCGCCGCAATTGCCTAGAATGTGAAATTTTCATAATCATAAATCTCCGTTCATAAATTTTTTTAAAGCTACTTACTGCGCAGGGAGTTTCGCAAAACTCAAATTGTATGATCAGACCAAGCAGGCTAATTGGCACCTTGAAGTTTCAAGCCGGGATAACAGAGAGAGCGCGATTTATACGGATACTTTTAATCCGCGTGTGCGCGCACACAGGTGCGTCCCGAGCTTTGCATGCGCGTAAAGGAATCCGCGATCGCGCACAATCCCAATAATTGTACGCGACAGAAGAACGCGTTACGTGCAAGATAATTAATCGGTCGATTAATTAAACGGCTCGCGGCTCGCCTTTGAACGGCGGTGCTCTCGCGCCGGCCTTATTCCGTCGGCTATCGCACTCGATCGTACATCATCGCGCGAACGCGGCGCGTCGCTCATTGCTCGTAAATATAGTAATTCAGCGACACGTTAGCGGCCGCCCGTATATTTAGGCGTCGCGGTTCATTCACTTTTATTCACATGCCTCCCGTGATGCGACTGCTTTTTCTCCCGTAATCGCGCCCGGTTGCACTTCCTGTCCCAAAAATTATTCGAAATGTTTACTTCAAAAGACGAGTGAAGTTATCCCCTTCAATTGTGGATTTATTCGTTCGATGAAAAAAATTATAACTTATTGAACTCACTTGACAATTTTTTCCATCCTAGATTCTAAATGCGAAACTCATCTGTCACTCACCCCGAATGATGTCTGGTGTACGTGGGGGTGGTTGTCGGGACCAGCTGATAATTTTGCGTGACGGCGTCTCTCGGCTGATGCCGATGATTGCTGTGGTAAGCGGCGTACGCTATTGCCCTGGTATTACCGTATTCCGCCATCGCCACAGCACCGCCGAATTTATGCTCCAGCGTTCGTTGCCCCACGTGATGCCGCGGCGGTGAGCTCGCCTGTTGCGGCAGCCCCGTCGCGGATACTTGCGGCCGCACCACCGTCCATGAACTCCTCGCGGTGGTCGTCTCGCGGACAATGCGTTCATCATCCGGATGATGACTGTGCCTGGCGTGAAGCAGTCTGTCGCGATACCAGACCGGCCAAACGATTCCGCGGCTGTGCGAGGACAGCCGATCCTCCGGCGAGGACAGAGCGGACCTCGCTGTGATCGTGGCGAGCAAGCAGGCCAGCAGTAATTTCGAAGCCATCGTCGGGCCTTTCAGAAGCCTTGTCTTGTACTTGTGACAATCGCGCGGTGTCCTGGTGATGACTTTATGAGCCGTCACATCCTCCCCTGCCGCGACGGATGTGCCAAATTCGCGCAACAAGCTCGACGGACATCCGGTGCCGAGATCCTTCACGGGCAGCTGAGAGCACTACTGAGAGCACTACCGAACGAGACACACGAAGCGGGGGGCCCACGTGCTTCAGTTGCTGGTACCAACCCCACCATGAGTCTCTTTTCCTCTGTCTCGTTCCTTCTCCCTCTATTTTGCCGGACTTCCCTCTTCTGCCTGTTGCCGCATTTACTCACCGCATTCGCTTGTGGCCCGGTCTGTCCGGGCTCTCCTTTTCTCCCTTTCTCCTTTCCATTCTCGTGCTGCAACGTCTGTTCTCCTGATACCCCACCAGGTCCTTCGGTAACCACCTACGTATCCTTCCGCAGCGGTCTCGCCGCTGCACATGGAAAGCCGCGTTCCTCTTGCTATCTTTATAGCGATAACGCTATTCGGGACAAAGCTCTTGCGCCAGCTGCAAAGGTATCTCGGCTTAAAAACGGATATGGGTCGTATATGATTCACACAGGGCTTGCAAATTCCGCTGTAACCGGAACAAAGTTCCAGATGAATAAAGAGGGTGGAATAAAAGCATGAATGCAAATATTACAGTTGCAAACATCATCCTTTTCGCGTATAATTGAAATTAGAATTTCACGGTACGCGAGAATCTTGCAGTTAAAATTTTATATCAAAGAAAAATATAAAAAATCTGAAAAAATTAGCTGAGAATGAATATATAACTATTGATATTGCAATTTATAGTATAATAAGTTGCAAAGAAAAAGATTTTTTGCATAAGTATTATTTTATAAAATATAACAGCAAACAGGTATAATAAAAACATTATAAAGCGCAAAATAAAAAAGCCTTAATAAACTGAATAAAATGTTTATTAACGTACGAAATGCTTGGTAATAACACGAGCATGAAAACACTTTGGGCTATTATTAAATATTTAATAATATGGCTAAAGCAGCAGCGTACCTGTGGTTTACTGGTAATTAAGTGCATTGCGACGATAATTGCTGTCATAATCGGAAACCGCAACGCCGCCGATATAATGATTAGTTCTATGCATAATTTGTTGCTAACTTGTATGCTACAGCTTCATTATTATAAAAAAAAAAATTAATCGCGGATCGCAAAGCGAGACGAAAGAAACAAAAATTTGTAAAATAATCTTACCGACAAAAAATACGTATCTTTACATAATAAAAATTAATATAGACGAAAGAAGACACATTTTAATATTTAAAAAAAAATTTATAATTGTTATAATCATTCACTAAATTATTAATTTCCGCAAAATTCCGAGCTTAGAGATCTCTAATTTAATATTATATACCTAAATAATACAACAAAACTATCGGTAAATAATAATTTCTTTATTTTCCAATAACAGACACGATCACGTTGAAATACTCGCTTCTTCTAAATCGAAAAACAGCTACGCGGAGGAAATTGCTCGAGACCCACGACGGTCGACTTTGCAATGCCGGAGCTGGAAGTTACGCGCGCTGGAACTCCCTGCGCAATTCCTGAATCACTTGGGCCGCGACGTTACTTGAGATCAAGGTCAGTGGTGCAGTGGCTGCAAACCGCAGCCACTGCAAAGTCTCCGTTATCTTTTTGCCTGCTTCTTTGCAAGCTGAGGGTGAACGGAGAAAGAGAGAGGTGGAATAATTGCGCGGATCATCGTCACGTTATTGCCCATTAGGAGAGCGCGGGGCGCAAAACACAGAAGCGTATCACGGCCGGCGGAGAGATAAATCAATGTGGCAGGATAATATACCGCTCATTCCCACGAGCAAGATCTACCCTTTTCATCTGCTCGTAATCTCTCCGATACTTCGCCGCACAATGGCAGTAAAGATCGGAAAAGCGGTTTGCTTCGTGTGCGAAGTGTGCGAGCACGAAATATACTTGAGGAAAAGTAAGTGATCTAAGAGAAAGCGGAAGGCGGACTCGGAAGATAAGTTCCCTCGATTTTCATCCCGCCGCTCTACACTTCCTATTTAAGAGTCAGACAAATGTATTGATTTAAATGCGAAGGACAAGGTGAAGCCGTAGCAATGTTTCATTCGGATACAGCGTTCGAATGAAACGCTTATGATTAATGCTGTCGACACTGCGTAGGAATGTTAATCGAGTTCGCGGCGATCGCGAAAAATGCCTCTTTTCTTCTTTTGCGTGTCGTTCTTCCCGCGGAACATACGATAAGCCTCGTTATCGGGACATCGCAGACGTCGTCTCATTAATTATCGTACTCGCACATTTTACTTTATCGATAATATTCGTCGGTGTTACGACCGGTTCATCCTCACAATCAATTACAGGTTCATCGAAATGCGCGTAAGCAATCACGACATTGGCTAACGATTAGTTATTCCCATAGTTAGCTCTAGGCTGCGCTCCGTGTTATAACCGAGTCTCCACACGCAAGCCTTGTCTTATCTAAATCTAAAAATAATCATCGTAGCTGAAACTTTACTCTTCAGAACTTCGAAAATTTCCTTAATTAAAGTTTTTTCTCGATCAAATTTTCATTGTATGCATAATCATCTCCATTCTATATTTTTCTTACAAAATTCGCGCAAATCACTCAGCACATTTTTGGATAAACAAACGTTTAATAGTTACTCGAGTCTATCAAATACACTCAACTCCAGAAAAGAAAATTCGATTCTATATATTCTTTCGATTTTCAATATCAATAGAAAAGTACTTCCAGTACTACCACTTCGAGAGACAACTGTTTCAATATCTTGGATTTCAAGATTTACATCATTGAAATCTATTGTTTCAACTTCCGTCGGGCAGACTTTTAGATAGTATGCTTATAAGGAAAGCATTAAAAAAATCATAAGCGCGTCTCTCAACGATATCTTTTACAAAGTGTAGTGTTGCAGAATAAATTAATGGTCGCACAGTAAGTCGCTGAGGTCATAACGACTCCATAAACTTTGACCTTCTCTCCTATGAAAACATCTAAAAAGTCGCACAACCGAGAATTAATCGGATGAGAGTAATTCGTTGTTCACGTTTTGTGCTAGTTAATAAAAAAGATAAATAAGAAAATACACCTGCAGTATATTTCCATTTTCAGTAAATTTCACATGCAAATCAGTCTGATTCTTTCGAGTTTATCTTGTATGATTATGACTTTTAGAAGAATAAATCAAATCTGTCTCAGATAATGCTCATTGAAACTATAAAAAAATATTACACTATTATGTAACGAATTTTAAATCAACGATAAAAACATGACCTAAAAACAATTATTATAAATTGTAGTGTGTGATTTGCGAGAAATAACTAATTTATAACTTTCAGTTATTCTGCAGTTATTCTGATCGGATCTTGGAATTAATTTTCTATAAATCTCCTTCCATTACGGTTAGTCTATAATTAATGCATATTAACTGCGCATCGCGCAATCTGCGAACGTAAATTTCATAATAAATGATTTCGCGAGTCGTAATCCTTATGTCTCGAGGCATGCATATCAATGATGGATGATGTATCATAACGAAGTGCAACTCTCGTGATAAATATAAATCGCGAATTGCGAAGAGGGATAATCCAGTTATTGGCAAAGTAAATAAACACATCGAAATGCCAATATTGCTATCCATTTTTCAAAGCGACATCGATTGTTTCCTCGATGCACGATAGGCAAAGTATTATTTCTGTACGCAGTCCCTAATGCTCTCTAATTCTCGTACACCCGATGCATGACGCAAACACGAGCACATACACCACACTCAGGTCACGTATCCAGTCCAGGCTGTGACCTACTGACACGATCCCGTGACGTCACGGGAGAGCAGTAGGTAGGGAAAGGGTGGCAAGGCTAAAGTAGGTGGAGTTCCTATCTTGACGAAGGAAATATTTTCTTCGTTATGCTGAAGTGGAAATAATTCAAAGATATAAGTATTTTCCTTGAAGTACGTGTGAGATAAAAAACTTATATGCATATTTATTTGATTATTTAAATAATATAATAAATAATAGAATCTTAATATAATTTAATTGCATTTACGTAACATTCATTTCAGATGAGAGAACATTTTTGCTCAAGTTTCTATTTATACGTATAAAAGGATTATATAACGGCTGATCAAAAGTCTGAAGTTGACATTGTATTGGAGATGTGAATTGATATCCACTTCTAGTTGTTATTTAGTTACGTAACAAGATCGATGCACTAGCTTTATATTCTGTAGAAAAATTTTGTAAAATGCAGTTTATTTTATTTTTACCTATCCCGCAAGCCAATAACCAATACATTAAAAAATAATATTGGTAATAACTTTTAAATGCTTTTTACACGCTTTTTAAATATTTTCGCTATTTTATTTTCTATTTAAATAAAAGGCAAATAAAATTTGTTTATTGAAAATTACACACAAATTTAGGATTTACATACATTGGATCTACCATTTGTCTTTTTATTTTATTTGTTTATTATTTTTTTCTAATGCAAAGAAATGTATTTTGATTTATTTTCCGTGACATAAAAATTTTTTGAAAAATATCCAAAATATTTTTTTATAATTAAACGTAATTAAAATTTAAAAAAAGTAATAATGCCGACATATTTTTTAAATTTTTTGCTCCTATGCATAAAATTGAAAAGTATAGTTTATGTTTTATTATTTCAAAAATTTTTTAACACTAATTGCAATGAATTTGGCTATATTCCGCTTGTCACAATCGACTAATTGCCACACTTGCGGACCAACGTCAGACAATCGTCCGAGAGCGACGCCATCCTTTGTCTAAATTCTCGCGCTCTTCCGCTCCGCTTCATATGTTATTTTACAACTTTTTGTAGCCTATTTACTCGTATTTTTGATAGAATTTTTCCGCGTAAGCAAAACGACCGAATTCGTCGCAATCTCATTTCCACGGAGGACGGCGGAAAGTCCAAAACCAAAGGATATGTGAAATTATCGCGCAGTCGGAAAAGGACTCTCTCCATCGTGAAGAGCTGTCAGCGTCAGTGACAGCTTCCTGGTTAGCCTTGTCGCCGTTCAGGCATCCTCATTCGGTCTGAGAACCGGCGTCAACAATCCCGCCCGCGTCATTACATCACCATCACAAGACGACGAACGAGCGTGAGCGCCACTGCGTCAGCAGTGAATGTGAATTTCTAGGGTGGAGATCAAGAAGATATATTAGGTGGAAGACTCAGAGTGATTGTAGACATCAAGGTATATGTGGGATATAGCATTGATATTAAATATCATTTAATTAAATCTGTTTTGTTGCACAATTAGAATAAGCAATTCACCAACACTTGTTTGTTACTATCTCGGATTTTTAAAAATGTCTTATAAAATTTATATGCCTACTTGCTCAAGACACTTCCTTTCAAATATGGATCCAGTGAATAATTTAGATCAAATTTCTTTTTAACAAAGACATCTCAATACTCTAAATTATAATTGCTTGAAACATGATTTTTGCAAATCAAACTTATGAACGGAGACTAGAATGAAATGTTATTTTCTAGTTTAGTTTGGACTTGTTTACTCTTGATTAGAGTCAACTGGATTTTATTTTAGAAGTTTACTTCAAATTTTTCCTATAACAAGAAACTTTGAATTTTTCAGGAAATCTGTAAAGGAAAAATTAGGGAAATTTAAGGCGCAGTGCACATTTCAAACCAAATCATAGAACACATTACATCAGAAACAGTCAAGAGTAGATGCGTCACTGTTACATGCGCGACGTAAATGCGGATCACAGTGTACATGTCCTTCCGGTTCAATAAGCGTTTCCTCGAAACGTCCCTCCGCATAAACCACCTCCGCATATTTTAACGAACGATCCGTGAGACGTCGTTATGCATTTGCATCCGGAATACCATATTTTCCAACTGCCTCGCGGAAACGCGTAGCGTACTCGCCTTGACATCATAGCGAGACATCTAAAATGTATTTTTCCGGCGTCACTTGACCTCCTTCGCACTTTTCAACCGATTTTCGCTGATGCGCTAAACGCGCTCCTGATAAACATGGATTTTTCCATCGTGTAACTTAGACACGTAACGTGCGACTTTACATATCAACAAATGTATTTATTCATCTTCAAGCACTTTTTTCCTGTCTGCTCTTCCGTCTCGCAATTAAAGCATTTAATGCGATAACATGCGATCGTCAAAAAATTGTCCTTTTAATTTTGCACGATTAATGCACGACACTATTTTTGCTGAAAACTGAATCTTTACTTTTATATCTATTTAAGCCACTGCAGTCAAGAGCAACTGTGTACTAAATTATTGATTTTTATTGATTTATGTATTAACAGCTTAATATTTCGTTTCCCTCTTTCATTCTTTTCCTTTTCTCTCTCTCTCTCTCTCTCTCTTTCTTTTGCAAAGTAAAAAATAAGAATAACTGAGAAAGCTTCTACTTTAAGTT